AGGAAACAAGGTTGCCCTATATATTAAGACGTTCGCCAAGTGAACTATTCTTGGCGCAAACTGAACAAAAAGTGCCAACATAAATTTGTGAATTTCTCCGTAAATTTTGCTCCAAATTTTACAAAATTTCATATTTAGGCGTAATTTGAGTCGTAGAATCGAAATATGTGAAAAAATTGGTATGTTATTTCAGAAAAAGTCCGATTTTGTGTCAAAATACCTATGTTAGAATAGTGCTATATATAAATCTAACATATATCCTAAGTCGCGCTTTCGAGACATGAAGAACGCAATTGGAATTTTGTCAATCGGCCCAGTAGAACGGGAGATATAGCACTGTCCCCCCTCCCTTTTTTTTTTTTTTTTTTTTTTTTTTTTGATCAGTGTACATACTGTTTCTGATGTTTTTAAAATTAAATTGTTGGTAGCAAGAGAAAATTTGCTGATCCAAAAATCAATGCCAAGTCTTTAAATACATCTATAGCAACAATAAATAAAATAATAAACCAAGATTTATGACATAAAAAAGCTCAAAAACATAATGTTCACCAGCTTCTCCGAAGCTTGTGGCTCAATGCTGAACAATTTATAGACCTTTGTACGACTACTGTTTAGCAGGAGATAAAGGAAAATACATTGTGATCCTTGATGAAGCATGGGTGTACCTAAATGACTGCAACAAAAAAGATTGCATTAATTATTGAAAATTAAAAGAAAAAAATGTACAGACTTGATTCTGTAACTACAAAGTAAGTTTTAGTAAGGACTTTGTAATTCTCACAAGATTCTCTAACAATGTAAAATTAAGAAGGAGAAGAAAAGGAAAAAATTTTTGAATCAACTCAACATGCTATCACTAGAAACTTTTTATGGCTGATATCTAGAGAAGAAATTACGTTGCTTTATACTAGTCACTTTCAAAGATTTAAGTTTCTTCAAGACAAGACAGCAAATCACACTTCAAAAAGTACCACTGCATTCCTTAAAAACTGAAAACTGATATACAGTCAAAAGTCGTTAATTTGGACACCCATAATCCGGAATAATCTATAATCCGGACCTCAAAGCTTCCACATAAGACCTTTACGGCTGCGCACATGTGTGTGCGCATGCTCATAATATGCTTACGCATGCACATTTAATGTATAACAGACGGTATAAGCTAAAATTATCTAATTATCTATTTCAGTTAATGTTGCAGGTTGCGTTGTTCCTTAATCTTCGAATTGGATCCGGCTTATTATTTTTTGCAGACTGTTAGAGCAATTTTATAAAAGTAAGCTTTAACTTTCGATTATGTCAAATAGAATTTCCGATATATATTTACTACAAAGCGAAAGTATGTTTTGAAATCCGAAATCTGTTTATCGATTTCACGCTGCTCTGCGGCAGAGGGGGGGGGGGGCAGAAACGTCATTATTAGATTATGATAGATTAGAAAGATTATGTCAAATAGAATTTCCGATATATATTTACTAATATGTAATTTGTATCTACAAAGCGAAAGTATGTTTTGAAATCCGAAATATGTTTATCAATTTCACGCTGCGGATTGGAAGTTGATCTGTCAGCACTATCCTTATCTTCAGAGCAGATGTTTTTATTTTATTTGGTTTATAATTCCCGTACTAAGTGTAGTATTTCATCTCGATATACTCCGTCTTTGATATGATTTAAATCAAGTTCCTCGTCATTATAATTCGCTTCCGATAGTGAAGAAAGTGACCCAGAGGTTATTGAAAACGAAAACATTTCGATTGACAAATTAGTCGGTATTCTCAACACAGCATTTATAGGACTTGAACAGCGGAACTTTGTAACTAAACAAGAAATTATGTCTGTTTAATAGAATTAAAGAGAAAGTATTATCACATGAAACGAAGCAACTTACATTGAAGGAAATGTTTAATAAAGTAAACAAATAAGTATTAAGCTTTTTCTTTTTGTAAATTTTGATACCCTTTAGATCATAATTGTTCTTTCTGCATGCGATCTTACCAGATTTAAACTGATGATCTATAATCCGGAATCGCCGAAGTCCCGACGAGTCCGGATTAACGACTTTTGACTGTACATTATTAAAACTAAAATGTACTGTTATTGAAAAAATAAATAAGTAAATAAAATAAAAAATTCAAAAAAATTAAAAAATAGTTGGTACTTTAAAAATACAGATCAACTGTAAAGAAAGGTTCACAATATTTACACAAAATTTGCTATGCTTGTAATACCGCTGACTGCCACGTGAGATTGTATATTTTTAAAATATGCCCAAATTTAGGGAGAAAGCAGGTAATATATAAAATTTTAGCATCGATTTCTTCATTTTTAATTTCTTCAGGGTCATAGCTGGATAACTTATTAGAAATTTCATTTGTTTTAAAATGCACTATGCACAGTTATATTTTATGCATAATTCATAAAATATTACTTTTAATTAAAAAAATTTTAATTTTTATCTCTTTTTATAGAAGAAGTTATAAAAATAAGCTTTTTTTCTTTATATATACACACATTAGGTAATGAAAATGGAAATATTTAATTAATTAATTCCGCTGCTTCAGCTGGAGAGGACTGAATTTAAAAGCAATTATTATACTAAGTTTTTTGGAAACAAAGTCTGAGCACATGTATGCACATTCACATGAAAGTGAAATGAATTGCGCAAGTAGTAATAACTTGTATTTGCACTAAATGGATTTAAGATCATACAACATTATATATATATATACATGTATATATATATGTGTGTGTGTGTGTGTGTGTACAGGGAGCATGCTTTAAATTTGTATTATATAATTTTCAAAATTTTTTGTGGGGAAAATTTAAATAAACATTGGCAGATATAAAATATTAAATTGAACAAGAAGCTAAGTTTACTATTATATTGAAACAAGAAGCTAAGTTGCAAACAGGGTGGGAAAAGCATATGGGATTTGAAGTTAAACCACGTTACCGTCGGCTTTACCACTAAGTTGTCATCACACAAGTATGGTATGCAATTTTGGCTTATATACATCGTCAAGTAAATTAATTCGTAAAACTAAATTTTTTGGTCCTATTTCAGTGTACGATTGTCTAAAAAATTCATCAGAGTTTGTTCTTCAGCTTCTAGGACATTTCTTACAAAAAATATTATCTTTTAAAGTGGCTTTCCAATTGAAGTTAAATGGGGTGCTAACAATATATTCCATGCGCTTACTAGACAAAAAGGTATATATATAAATAGAGAAATACAAATTTAACATACTCTTTAATGCAGTGGAATATTTAAAAGGCTATCAAATTTAATTTATAATTAACGTTTTTAGTTTTTACGTGTTTGAAAAGAAAAATAACAGCTCTTTTAATGCCATATCTGATTTGCTACAGCAGTTTGATATAGTCAGACGTTCAGTTTCATTAAAGGTAAATGAGTATGCAGAACTAAGAAATAATTGTCAGGACAAATTTTGCTATTTCATAGACTTGAAATTATATTTTTTGCGCCTGATTTTCTTGATCTGAATTTCTTCGCCTGATTTTCTATGCGAACTAGTACTGTAGTTGTAGTCATCTTATTTTTTTATTTTTTTTAACTAAATTCAGCTGGTGCTGTCTTTTTCAGTATGCAGGTTTCTCACTAAAATGTTAATTCTGAAATAAGTATTTTTTAGCAAAACATTCTTTCTCTAAGCCAGTGTTCATTGCTACTTCTTCCACCATTAATTTTTGGTGACAACACCTGATTGCTCCTTTTTTACCACGTGACCCCAATGCATTCGCAGATATACGGATAGAAGTTGAACTCCATCCGTACGTCATCCATCACCGCACATCGACCGGATTGCAGATGTCAATCAAAGTGAATTCGCTTGTTGATTTGAGAAACACATAGACACCACATTGCATACGCAGCAGGGGAAACGGGCTTTTAGAAGTAAAAATCTTTAATAACTCATGACTGCTCTTGAAATTTGCACTCCTGTGCCATCATTTATAAATAACTCCTTGACATTGGCATTTTTTTTACTCATCAAATACAATAATCCAAAATATGGCATCATTTCACATCTTGTAATATCCTGGCAGTCTCATTTTCTTGAATAATTATGTTTCCCCACTCAGATGACATATATTGGCTGGTATATTTCAGAATTTCATCAATCATATGTACATCTATTATCTTCATAAATGATCCAATTTTATCATCTATATCTTTTACAAAACTTTTCATGACAAGAAGAACTTTCACAGTGTTCAACTTTTTAGTTTTGGAAAACTTGACATATTGCATTTTACGCCATTTAGTAATTTTGTCTTTGCCAATATAAAAGTCTTCATCTTCAATTGATTCTTCTTCATCTCTCTTCATCTTCAACTGATTCTTCTTCATCATGTTCAGATTTAGATTGCTCAGATACTGCTGATACAATTTACTTTGATATTTTCCTGACTAAGATCACTTTCTCTATCCAAAAACACTCTCACATCAGTCCTTTCATTTTCTTCATCAGACAATTCTTGAAGAATATGTGGAATATCTTCCCATTTTATCAGTTTTGAAGACATATTGCCAAAAATATATGAAATATATAGTTTTAAACTTTGTACAGTAAATTAATAACTCAGTATAATGTACATAATAAAACATTATTATAAAAACAAAACTTTAAAAGATGTAAAAAATAATTATTAAATCTACTAGCAAGAGCAGGCATGCATTATAAATTTTCCAGATAAAGTACAATACTGCATAAAACTTTTTCGAAAATTGAAACTTGACCTTGGAAACAGGATCAACCCATTTCATCTCAAAGGGATGGAACGCATAGAGGAGCAGCAATAATCTACAGACATTTTCTGTACTGTACATAACTGTTTTTTAAGATACAGCGTGTTTGTCATAAAATTTACGCATGTGCGTCTGCTGAAAGATTAATGTTGTCTCTGCTACTTCTTAGGCCTTAAATAATTATAGAATGTGAATGTGTAGCTGACTGAATGAAGCCATAGACTAAATGTCAGTTCATATTTGCTTTGATTTGATTGGTCAGTTCTTATATTAAGCTTGCATAAAGTTCAACACTTCGAAGGGAAAGGTTCAGTTTGACTTTCACAAGTAGTTTGGGAGGGTTTACCTTAGTTAGTAAGACAAAAGTGGATGAGTTAATTTTAAAATTCAGAGGAGCTCGCTGTCTGATCTTTTTGATGAAGAGAAAAATAATGCAAATATATTTTTAATTTTCAGAACCTGTCTCTAAAATGCTAGGAGGGAAAAAAAAAATGAGAAAATTTGGCATTATTTTTAAAATTGTGTAATTCATTGATTTTTTGGCACTCTTCTGTAATTGGGACCAAATTCAGGAATATATGTATTCATACACATGTGTATGCATGTATGTGTATACACACATGAACATATATTTCAATTCATATGTGCATGAATACATACATACATACATTTCTCAATCAAGTCCCAGTAACAGAACAGTACCAATTTTTTTCAGGGTAAGCAGATCACTCCATATAGTTTTCTTTCTCTTCACGTATACAATAATCTGTTTTTACCTAAAATAACATCAAGGAATTGCAGAAATTCAGCATCATGCAGAGGAACATTATCATCATTAACACATTGTACCATATTGTACACATTAAACTTTGTACTTGTTTATATGTAAAATAATTATATTTTTTGTGAAGCTTTATGTATCATAAGAGTTGCCACCATGTAGTTAGATTTCATGTCAATATTTATATTCAGTATTAAGTGGTTCCCTGTTAGCAAAAAAAAAAAAAAAAAAAAAAAAAAAAAAAAAAAAAAAAAAAAACTGCTTTAAGAGGGAAAAAAATTCTTGATATCCATAATTATGTAATGAAATTTTTTTTAAATTTTAGGAAATAAGTATTGTATTTACTCACATATTTCCCCCTTCTCTTTGCAATTTTAATTCTTGAAAATTTAGAGGGTACAGTTATTCAATGCATACCATTTCTAAATAAAAGGCTAAATGAAGAATATAGGATATTGAAAAGTACATATGAATAAACATGTTATAAACACTATATTTTGTGTTTTTAAAAAGAGTAACTGAAGTTATTAATTTTAATACTTACTTAATGTACTTTCCTATCTGGAGATGCATTTTATGTTTTTGTTATTAATGAGAAGTTTATAAATCATATGCTGAAAAAGCTAAGAAAAATAACATGAAAGGGAGGCATAATATGCAAGTAAATATGGTAATTTGAGAGATTTAATAAAAGGTCATTGAATTTTGTGGATTAAATTAGTACTACTAGGTATCCTCTGCAGAATTGTTACTTCTGTAATTTGTGTTCAAATGGCATAGAATTTTTTAATGAGGAGTTACTGAAAATTAATAACAATATGCAAACTCATATTTTGTAAAGCATATGTTATTCATGAATTGTATCATTTCTATATTTTTATAAAATGTATAATGTTGTGTTTACCTGAAAATACTAAATTGTATTGGGTACAAAAATTTTCTTAAGCGTTTGCAGTATTTTCAATAATTTATAGTTGCTATTAATCAAAGTTTTTTTTTTTTTTTTACCATGCTACAGTAGAAGGTAATGTAAATTAAACAATTTATATTAAAAAGGAGTTTTATTGTTTATATTTATAATGTTTTAATAAAAATGAATTGTTATGAATTAATAATTATAATATTTCATGACTTAATAATTTCATTCATTTTCTTCTGCAGATGTTAAAAAAAATTGCTTTTCAGTAGAAAATATAAGAATTTTGCTTTTTGTTTAAAAAAATTTTGGATTAATTTTTAATATTTTCAGGAAAAACCACTCTTGCTGATTCCGTTTTAGCTAGTAATGGTATCATATCTCAAAGACTTGCAGGAAAGGTAAAACTTATAGCTCTTACATACAGATAATTTGTTAAATTGTAATGTTACATACAGATAATTTGTTAAATTGTAGTACACTACAAATGCTATGCTTTGATTTTTCTCTTGCAGATCAGGTACTTGGATAGTAGAAAAGATGAACAAGAAAGGGGAATTACTATGAAATCTAGTTCCTGTGCTGTTCATTATCAGAAAGGTATATAAAAATTTTCTTCTTTTCATAAATAATGTCATTGTTTGCATCTTGTTTTAGTTTATTGATATAAATTTCATATCTGCTCTTTGTTATTTTTACAAAAAAAAAAAAAAAAAAAAAAAAAAAAATGATTGTTTCTTTTCTTTCAAAATTTTTCATAGAAAATTACATATTTTAGCAGGTAGGTTGATTAAAACATACAGTTCTATATCTGACATTGATTAGTTGTAATTTAAATTGTGTTTATTATGTCTCAGTTACTCAGTACTAAACTTACTCGAATATTCCGGTTTGCTTTTTATGCAAAATTTGATTCTCCTTCTCCATAGATTGATTATATGCATAAAGATATGAACATATGTTTAATTAATACTCAATTTTATTTCATAGTGCTAAATTTAATTTATATTTCATCATATTTTTTATTAATTAATTTTCTCTATTATTAGTTAAGTCAGTTAAATTTATTTTGTATCTGTAAATTATTAACCTTTTTTTTTTTTTTTTTTTAAAGAATTCAATTAAAAAAAATTTTAATTTTCTTACATTTTCACAGTAATTTTTAAATGCAGAAATTTACTCTTCATCCTAAGGCAGATAATTTTTTTGGTATTATGTTTGGTCAAAGAAGTTATCGTTTCTATTAAAGAATTGCATGTATGCACTTTCTATAAATGTACATATAGAGAGAGTTCAAATATTTCAGTATGTTCATGAATGAATTTAAACTTGAGATTATATTGCATAATACGTCGTACCTGCCAACTTTTACGAATTTTTCGTAATTTTTACGAAAATGCGTTTGTCTTTACGATTTTTTTCCTTTTTCAAGTGTTTTTAATGATTTTTGTCGAAATTTTAGAATTTTTCGCCAATTCAGCGATTTTCGCTGATTGCATCGTGTTTTACCACCAACTACCGACTACTTCAAATCCAGTAACCTGCGGTTTCTCCCAACTTGCCGCTTAATCAGCCAATCCATTGCGCTGAACTTGTTTTTCCCACTCTTTTCTTTGTGGGCGCCAGATTATTTTTATCGCGTTCGCTTCAGCAGCAAGGGAATTACTCAGCAAGCATGGATTGTCGCATTGTTTTTTTTTTTTTTTTTTTTTTTTTTTTTTTTTTTTTTTTTTTTTGTTTTGTTTTTTTGTTTGCACGTGCTACGAATTTTCTTAATATGTTGTTGTTACGAATGAGTTCAAAATAACCGTATTCTCAATATTTTTGGCCTGCCTACAAAGCTGAATTTCTAACAATTAAAGAATCCTTCAAAGGAAATAACTATGCATTTTGCAATGTGTGCGTGTGTGACTTCATAATAAGTCACAGTGGAAGAAGCGACATTGTGAAGCATGTTAAGTCTAAAAAGCATGAAGTTAATGCTTCGCCTTCGACAACGTCAAAGAAAGTGGATAATTTTTTTTCAAATTCGGCTACGAATTCAGATGCCGATGTCATTTTGGCAGAGTGTTTGTTTACTGCATTCCTCATCGAACACAACGTGCTGCTAAGGGCTGCCGATCACGCCAGTCAACTTTTCAGACGGATGTTTCCCGACTCCAAGATTGCTGAGAAATATGCTTGTGCTCACACGAAAACATCTTCTATTGTGAACGAAATTACTTGCGATGCACAAAGTAAAACGATAGCTGCACCCCCAGAATTCAGCATTTTCGGTGTTAATCGATGGCATTAACGACAGCGATTGGAAGCTTTACCCCATCTTTTGTCACATATTTCTGTGATGTTTCTAATGAAATGAAAACTGATCTTTTGCATCTTCCATTGTTAAATGGAGATGCTAAGGGGGAAAATATTGCCTCCTTGGTAATTAATGAGTTGAAACAACTTAACATTCCAATATCAAACTGCATTTCATTTGGTGCAGATAATGCTCATGTCATAGTGGGTTACAAAAAGGGTGTAGCCTCTTTCCTCAAAAAAGAACAAAATGAATTAATTGTTATTGGATCCCCATGCCATTTAATTAATTTGGCAGCAGAAAAAGCTGCAGCTGCTTTACCATTAAATATTGACCAGCTTCTGATTGATGTGTCTATCTGGAAAAAATTGTAAAAAGGAAAGAAAACCTAAAGAATTTCCAAGAACTGTGCTCTGGTGAAACGAGAAAAATTCTGAAACATGTATGCACAAGATGGTTATCCTTAGACAGAGTGCTAGGAAGGTTTATTGAACAGTGGGATGCATTGCTAAAATATTTCCACGAAGAGACCAAAACGAAACCACAGATCCCATCAAATTTGTCGGCATATAAGATTCCGAAAAAAAACTTTGCTTCTAATCAAATTGCTTTAAAAGGGAAAGGCCAACACATGAATCAAACCCTTTAAAAAGAAAATGCTTAGAAGACTCCTCAAAGGTCAACTTTGTTAAAGAAGTTGAAGGGAAGAAGAAACAGTCTTCTATTAGCCGGGAGGAAAGGATTTTCTATCTTCTTTCTTCGGATTTGAACAAAGCATATTGTAGTTTTGTGTTAAGTGCCATTAAGATTTTTGAAAGTGTAAATACCCTTCTACAATCAGCTTCCAAAATCTCCCCTGCTTATCCAAATTCTTAATGATCTTTGAAAGAACTTTATACTAAGTTTGTAAAACCGTCCATTGTGAAAAACAATGTGTTGATTCGTGTTGCTTATAATAGTTTGGCAAATCAAAAGGATGACAATGATCTTATAATTGGAAATCAAACCAGGGAACTTGTAAATTCTTTGAAAGATCATGAGAAAAAAGAATTTTTTCAATGTGTTAGAAAGTACTTTTCCTCAGCCTGTGATTACATTGTAAGGAAGTTTCCTTTGCAAAATGAAGTTCTTTTAAATGCTGAAGTGGCAAATTTGAAACAAATTGAAAATTCATCTTTTGAAAAAATTCATTTTTTTATTGATAAATTTCCATTTTTGTTAACAATTTAAGAAAATGAATGCCATAATGATGCTTTAATGAACTACAGAACCAATTTTCTGCTGCACAGTTTGAAGACTTTGCCAGTTCTGCAGAAGATAGACTTGATGTCCTCGTTGGTACCTTAAAAAGAATAAAAAGAGCTGATGGAACACCAAAATATGATAGACTAGCAAGAGTTTTATGTGCTATTCCCGTAATTCCACACAGTAATGCTGAGTGCGAGAGAGTCTTCAGTGTTGTGAAGAAAAACAAAACTATGTTTCGTTCTTCAATTTTTCACCAAAAACTCTAGAAAAACATTTTGATTGCTAAATGTTATGAGGAAACTAATTGTTATGACAGGAAATTTTCCAAAGAATTTTTTTTGGCTAAAGCCCAAAAATGCACTCTAAAATTCATTGCAATAATTTTTTTTGTGTAACATTTAAGTTCTTGTTTTATGTTTTCCTAATAAATTTTTTAGTTACTACTTAATTGAGATTTACTAATGTAAGTACAATTTTCTTTTTTCTGTTTGTATAAATTGTTATTTTTTTAATATCAAAGCATGATATTAATTCTTCATGTTCTTCTGAATTTGGGGGAGAAATCTTCTGAATTTTTATCTTTAGAGGTTGGCAGGTATGATAATAATAATAATCTAAAATTTGTAGGATTTTTTTTAACCTTCACATTTACAGTCTTTTTCCATCCTCCTATTCTCTATTCTAATGCATTTAGTAAGGAAATTTTAAGAATATGATTATCTTTTATATGTTTAAAAGTAAAATAAAAATAACTTGTTTTGAAAAATTAGAATATTATTGATAAATGAGCACTGCATTTTGCTTAAACAAAGGTAAAGTGAATTTTGATAAAAAAAATATCATTTGGTTTTAGTAATCTGTCATCTGCATTTGACAATCAGATAAAAGTCTTTTGTACTAAATGAGGAAATATATTTGGCTGTAAATGAAAGCAAATGAATGATTGTATAAATAGTGAGTTTTCTAATCTAAAATAACTATTTTTGTGAAAAAAATAATGTGTTTATACTCATATTTTATAAAAAATATATGTTTATGTGAATAGAATTTTCCATCATTCCGCTGTGCTGCATTTTAGTTTCTTTTAACCTTTTAGATTTTTATCCTATTTTTTTATTACAGACGGACAGAATTATTTAGTTAATCTTATTGATTCTCCTGGACATGTGGACTTTGCTGGAGAAATTTCTACTGCAGTTAGATTGTGTGATGGAGCTCTTATTCTTGTTGATGTAGTAGAAGGAGTGTATCCTCAAGTAATTATTAGCATGATTGATTTTTTTAAACCTAATTAAGTTATATTAGTCATAAGTGACTAAGGATAACTGTTAAGAGAAAAATATTCACGGAGGCTGTATTTGAACTTTGTTTTTATTTTTATATATTTATTTGAACTACAGAGCAGCTTTTGGGGATTTATAAAATAGTCTATAGTTTTCTAGTAAAACTTCCATTTTTGATAATTTTCTAAAATTAAAAAAAAAAATTAAAAACTTTATAAAATTTGTATTGTAATACCTCACTTAATATGGCTTCAATATCTTTTCATTTACTGTAGTCCAGTTTTACAATTTTAAATTAGAAAAGTAAAAAATAAATTCTTACGAATTAGCACACAAAATTGTTTTTAATCCATAAATAATCAGTCCCTTCCCCCATATTCACATTCAAGTTTCCTTTCATGGGTTTTATTTTTATGAGGATATGTGTTTTTTATGTTATGCAATATATCAGAAATGTTATTAAAACTTTAGGTGAAGCAGGGCATGAATTAACAACTAGCAATATGAGGACAATATGAAAACAAATCATATCCTACTGTGCAGATGATTGCATTGGTTTTAACTTCAGTTTGCTGAAGTCATTAATAACATAGTGAAAATGGGAAGCAACTAAGTTTTTAATTAATTAAATTCTGTCAACGTGATTGAATGCATCTAATAAAAAAACTAGTGAATTAGATAATGGAATCCTGATTAACACAGATAATATAGGCTTATGAAGAATGGAAGACGAACTAGACAATGACAACTGTACAGAAGTCGTTGCAGGAGAATCAGCAGCTGAATAGTTAGAGCTTCTTATATAAGTTGATTTCTATATTGAACATAATGAATTACATGGTTTATGCTTGACAAACAGTTTTCCAACTGATAAACGATGCAGTTTGTTGCTGCAAAGAAATATATGACGGCAAAATTCCAAGAAAAGCAAAAGTGCACAAGTATTCATATTGCAATATTTAGAGAACAAAAAGTTAATTACGAAAAACATGCATTTTAAAAACATTATTTACAATTAAGACATTTGAATTAATTAATATTATTTATTAAACAACAGTGAGAATATGCTTCTCACCAGTGGCCAAATGGTAAAATCGCTGAACACTAGTAGTTCGGTCCAAGGTTCAAATGCAGCAAACAGGCTGGCTGCATGGGCATTTTAGTGGTTTTTCCCATGTGTAATGTGTACATGAGCCAGTTTCCCATAGAAAGTCCTCTACAAAGGTATTCCTCCTCTTAGGCAGATAGCCCTCAAGGCTTTGCCATAATAAAATAAACCTAAACTTGTGATATAGGCTCAACAAATTTCCCAGACTTTGTTGATGTATTACTGTACTGTTATTTATATGGGACTAACTAAATAAAACTATATAAATATTTGATTTGTCAATATTTTATTTATTTAATGTATTATTGAAAGACTTGTACCATTTCTGTGAGTGTGTTTTAAGGAGCAATAAAAAGAAGCCATTTAGACGCCCCACCAATACATTTCAGTTATGTATTTGTTTTGATACATTGCTTAGAGATTTCAATGTAGCAAAAACTCACTGGTCAATGGATTGCAATATAGTGTTTATTAAGAAAATGAAAAAAAAAAAAAAAAAAAAACAAAAACACACACACTAGCAAACATTTCAGCAGTCATTACATTCCTGTTTTCCTGTTGAGCTCAAAGCTAGCACTGGCGCACTACTCAAAAGTACATACATAGCACATACATAAGAATGCTCTGACATACCTGCAAAAGAAAGAAGCAAGGGGGGGGGAATATTTATCATTGCATCTCAGAAAATAAAAATTTTAAATATAAACAACATTAGGAACAATGTGGATTGTGTTTATATATGTGTGACTGCTATTGATTAAAAAAGAAATAGATGGAATAGATTTATGATGTGTGTTAAGTGAAAAAGTTGTAGACTTTGTATGACTGCATACCAGGCCACATGACTGGGCTAAAGTGAGACATCAGTGCCATCAATTATTTTATTCACCAGCCGACAGTTGTTAAAACTTTTATATTCTAATTTGTCCATTTTTAACTCCTAATTAGTTGATACTTTTACTCTGCTTGAGTCAGTCACTAGCTATTAAGCTCGGTGTACAGCTATACAACTCATATTGTTAAACAGATGGAGACAACTTAACATATGGCTTTCTAAAACATACTATTTCTGCTTGCCATCGAATCTACATTACATCAGTACTAGTCATTTGAAATTGTGTGAAATGTTTGTTGCTTTCATATGAAAATTCTTCTTGTTGAATTAAAGTTGTAAATAAAGTTATAAATTGTACTTTAATTAAGAGATTAACCTGCAAACAATATATAACAAAGATAAAGAAAAAGTGACAGGAGAACAGTGTGTTTTTCAAAATAAATGGAAAGTTACATACTTTTGTAGTTTCATCCATAATAAAGCAGTATGTTTTATTTTTAGCAAGAGAATATCAGTTCCAAAAGAATGTAACTTATGTCATCATTATGGCATGAATCGTGAAGAAAAATTTGAAATTTGGGAAAGTAGACTGAGGGAAGAAAAATTGCACATTTTAAAATCTGGCTTACATTAACAGCAATTTTTTTTTTTTTTTTTTTTTTTAAATCTATTATGGAAGCAAATAAATCCAGTGGAGCAACATTTTATGTAAGTTTTGTTCTCATGCACATAACTGCAAAGAGTTCAAAACCATTTTGTGGTGGTTAATCCATTAGATTGTTTAATTAAATCTGCTGAACTTCTTTGTCCTGTCAAACAGCAAGTATTTAAAAATATTAGTTCGCCAACCAACACAGTAGCGGAACATATTAACAAAATCACTAGTGATTTATGATGTCAATTAAATGAAAAAATTATAGATTATGCAGCATTCTCAATAGCAGTTGATGAGAGTACTAACATCATAGATATAGCACAGCTTGCCATTTTCATACAAAGTGTTACTGATGAATAGTAGTTGAGAAAGTACTGGAAGTTGAGTAGTTGAAGAATTACTGGAAATGATTCCTATGAAAGAATAAACTGTAGCACAGAATATTTTTTCTGGATTAAAACTGTAATCGATAAATATAAATTAAATTGAGCTAAAAGGATTGGATTTGCAAGTGATGATATAGTTGCTATGGTTTTTGAGAAAATGGAGTAATGGTAAAATTAAGAAATATAGTGAAAGAAGAAAATTTTCAGAACAAGTTTTAAGCTATACTTTGTTTTATTCATTTAGAATAATTTTTTGCCAAAAGTTTGCAAACAGATGATATTATGGAAACTACCGTATTTGACAGCATATAAGACGCACCCTTATTTAGAAGACACATGTAGATGTAGATGAAGTTATGTGTGTCTAGACCTTTATCCAGGCTAAAAATAGCATTCAGTATTGAAAGTTAACCTGTGTCCTTCATGTATAAGACGCAGGTAACTTTTTGAGACCAAATTTAGGAAAAAAAGTGCATCTTATATGCCGTCAAATACGGTAATTAAAGCAGCAAACTTTATCCACGTGAATAATCAAGAATTTCTTGTATTCAATTTGTTGTTTTGAATTTTAAAGTGAGGACAGAGAAATGATTTATTATAATGAGTTGATGTGGGTAAGTCAAGGAGCTGTATTAAAACAAAATTTTTGATTTAATAATTGGAATCAAAATTTTCATGATGCAAAAAAGTAAAACCATTGAAGAACTAATGATACATGGATTATAGATTTAGCATTTCTCTTTGATTTAACTGCTCATTTAAATATTCTAAATAAAGAACTGCAATCAAAGGGTAAACATAATAGAATCACTGAAGTGCATGCTTCTGTTAAAGTTAAAATGCAAATGTGAGAAACATGACTGAAATGAAAACAGTTTACACATTTTCTATGCCTTAAATTCTGTCCTGTTATACCAAATAAAAAATGCCAAGAATATGCAAGAAAAATAACATTATTATGACAAGAATTTGAAGGCATTTTAAAGAAATTTGGAGTCCAATTTTAAATTATTTTCATTACTATTAAAAGTGGTTGTGAATAGCACACTAAGAGATCTACAAATGGAACTAATTAATTTGTAGTGCTGTATATATCGTGTTCAAAGATTTCAAGATACCGATCTCATTAACTTTTATTTACACTTGTTGAAAGATAAATATTCTCAGTCGTGAATTTTTCGGTAAGAATAATCACTTTTTTATAAATAAACCATTTAAGAAAAGAATCCTATTGACCTTTGAACATCTACAATCCATGATGAAAATAGTAACCAGCAATTTTTCTCCATGGCTACAAACACTACAAGACTCAAAATGCCATTAAGTGTCAAGCTGTAGCAGAAAATAGAGAAATGTACAATTATTTACGTGTAGTCATATGCATTTATGTGTATTTTTTCTGCGTGTGTCAATAAAAAATTTAATGCACAAAACAAAGAAAATAAGTTTTCATTATATACTCTCAAGTTTTGTTCCTCTGGGGAAGTTTTCTCTGGAAATGTGGTAAGTTTTTATAATTTGTTCATTTTATGCTTATGTTAAAAATAAGTTATTTAGTGGTTGATTCAACCTGTAAGAATTGTTTGAAATAAATGTCAGTTCAAAAATTTAATATTTAGCTGCTAGTACATTTGAATTACGACATGCAATTAACAGAAATTTGTTACAGATACAAAATAAACAAGATGTGAATTTTTTCCTTTGCATCATTATTGCTTATGTATTTTTTGGATAAATATTTAGTAAGTGAAATTTGAAATTAAGTTAAAATTTATTTTGAAATTTCATTAAAAAATTCTGTTCTTACAGTTGCTTTCAGGTTATGCATGCTACCCACCAATTGCTTTCAGGTCATGCATGTGGCTCACATGCAATTTGAGTTTTAGAGCACTGGCTTCTGACATTTAAAAGAAAAATTTAATAGTTTTAAGAATTTAAGCTTTACAGAATACTTTTAGCCATTGCCAACAAAATTAATTGAAACTAGTAGTTGCAATAGATTATAATAACTTTTCAATGTTCCAGTCAGTAGTTTTAGATGATCAGTGAATAATAATTTTTTTTCATCAATAGTTGATGAAAAAAAATTAAATAATGCCTATGATAATGAACATTCCATCATGTGTGTGGAATGGAATTATCTGTCCAAGATTGTTTTGTGCCTTCAGATTTGTTTGATATTAATATTTTTTTATTTATTTGTCTTGTATTAATAGTTTCTGTTATTTATTTAGTTTCTTTATGTATTCTTTAGCATTATTAGTAATATAAAATTGGTTTTCTTGCAGACTAAGGTTGCCTTGCAGCAGACATGGAAGGAACATATCCGCCCTTTACTTGTATTGAACAAAATTGACCGTCTTATTTTTGAATGGAAATTAACCCCTCTTGATGCATATGCACATTTAGTTCAGATTTTAGAACAGGTATTATCCCATCTTTCATTCCAGATATCTTAAAAATGATTTATATGTTTGAATCTTTCAAAAACAATTACTAAATGTTTCAAAATTTAATTTATTGCTGGTTGATAACTGAATTTGAAATATGTTTAGACTATTTAAAATTAAAAGACTTCAATATAAGAGTTTTTCTCTAAAATATTATATATGATAATCAAAGAACTATTTTCTTTGTGGGTCCAATATAGAACCTTACAATGAAGTAACAAATTTTAACTTTTCGCTGCTTCAGCTGTGTGTTTTATGCAAAGTAAGGAATAATTTTTTAATTTTATGATTTTATTTCAATGTGTCTTCCTTGTTTTATGTATCTTAAGAGGATTAACCCTTTAACTGCTAACTGCTCTAAGTTGAAGCACTTCACATGTGTGGCATGCAGCCACAGAAGACTGACCAAATAAATGGGATTTCATTTTTTCTTGTTGCTAAGTAACAAATGAGATATGAGATTTCTATGAGTGTTAGACATATACGATAGAAATAATTTCTGAATATACATGTGAGACAGCAATGAACAGCCAAAGCTTTCACCAAGCACGCATTTGCATCCATAGTCTACACTGATGGCTTGTATCAGATGCACATATGCAGCCATAGGTCACACCAATAGTTTTTGCTGGACGTATATATGTCCTCATAGCTATCAAAGGGTTAATTATGGAATGCACGTGCTGAATCAGAAAAGATTTTTAATTTCAGAATTTTTGAAAAAAAATTGAGAATAATTCAACATATCCAGAAATTCATAATGATACCTGTCAAATTGCTATGAATAAGGATTCAGCAAATGTAAAGTATTATATAACATTTGATGATGCAACAATGTTTGGTAATATTCTAAAATTTCAAAGTATTATTTTGTAAGCCCCTGGATGATTGATTCTTGGAAAGAAAGTGCTAAATAATAACTACACTACTAAAAAGCAAACGCCATATGCTTTTGTTTTCAATTCATATAAACTCAGAAAGGAAGGTTAAATGAAACAGAAGGGAATCTAGTCTTTGCAAAATGCAGTCGGAGTGTAGGAAATGCTGAAAATCATCTTATTGCAAAGCTATGCCTCATATTTGTATCATATACCCAGCTGGCCACTAAAATTGCAACACCAGGTAGGAATGATGTGATGAATATGAAAATTATATGAAGGAAGAAGAGGTTGGGATATGCAAATGATTAGTATTTCAGTGCATTTAGATGACATAGGAGAGAGAAACAGCATCTGAAGCACTGCATAAAAGAAACACTGTATGGTGGATTTCTCATTCGGAAAGTGCTTTGTAAGGTCGGAGTTGGCTCAGGATATTGTATAATGCCTTGAATAAGAAGACAACATACTTACCAGCAAGTGTCGGAATTCTATAGAAGCAAGATCATTGTCAGTCAAGAGTGTGGATTATCGTTCCGTATTATCACCGGTTGCACTGGTCGACACCCAACGACTGTTATGTGAATATGGAATCAGTGGGTTGCTGAGGGTCATACTGAATGGCAAGCAGGATATCAACACCTTCCCATGACTGTCGCCTTAGAGAACACATATTGTGAGGTCAGCCCTTCAAAACCATACAACATCATGGACCATTACTCAGAAAATGGGCATGTTTGCAGCATGTCTAGTATCCGCTCATACGATACATCAATGTTTGCAGCAGCATGGACTATCCGCAAGGTAACCATTACTTCATCTTCCCTTGACAATGCAGCATAGGAAGAGACTGCGATTCTGGTGCACCGAACGACAGAGCTGGATACAGGAGTGTATTTCTCTTGCAAGTATTACAGCTCATAATACTTAAAAACAACTTGAAATTTGATATGTGTTAATTTATGTGGGATATGTTTATATTAAGTTTACTTGTATAATTTAAATAAATCATTGTCGTCATATGAGCATAATCCAAAATGCATAGCATTTGACAACAAATTAATAAAAAATGAATCAACTCCTAATTGTTTTCTTTTATCCAACTGCATCCATCTAAATCATTTAATATCATAAAGCTATGACATATAAAAAACAATTGGTATGACCACATCAACATGTACATTTATAATGATGCTAGAGAAACGTCACATGACATAAATATTTAAAAACTTCAAATTGTTCCTAAACAAATTAACTTTTTAAAATTCCATATTGTATATAAGATAAAATGAAGAACATATTTAGATAATTTTGAATTTGCATAATTTTATGAAACTTAATTTTTTTATGAAATTATTAGTTACATTGTAAAAAGGAACTTTTTAAAAATGTCTCGATTCCTTTTTTAGAGGTGAACTTTTAGCACTAATAAAGTATATTTATAAGATTTAAAACTGAGAAAGATAACAATAATAGATTAAAATGCAGTGCAAGATTGACTGATTAAATGTAAAATTTTTACATATCATAATTATGTCTATAACTGTATGCCAAAAATTTTTAAATCGGAAGTTACTCAACTAAGTTACAGATGCTAATTAATAATATTTTCTTTAACATGCTTTTGATAAACTTAACTTTAACGAATGAATATATGTATTTGCTTACTATCTGAAGTTATGAATGCAATATTTGGGGCGTTAAATATTCATTTTTAAGGAAGGTAAGCAAAAAAATCAACTTTGTAATTATAGGAAAAGGTAAGTCCTCTACAATATCCCTCCTGGTCTATATTTAACAATTTTAAAATTTAGTGTACTCATTAAAGTAATCTAAATGTATGATGTTTAGTTTTGCACTGCAGTCGTTTACTGAATTCGGTAATTAAATGTATTGTAGTTTACTACAGTTATTTACTAAATTCAGTTTCGCTAAATAATACTTTAAATAAAGTATTTCTTTTTCCGAAGGACGTGACATTTTCACTTTTAACCAAAACATGCAAAAAATGTTTGCATAGATTTATATAAAAAATATGAGATTAAAATATGTACATTTTACGAAAAATGCAGTAAAATAGTAACTGAAGATTTATGCAAATTTTTTTACCAAAAATGTGCATTTATACACAATAAAGAAGAGAGGACATGGAACTAAATTTTTACCAAAATCATTCGCATATGCAATGAAAACATACAGAAGATGTAAGTAAATTACTATCAAATATATATGCTTTTTGTACCATAAAATACGGGGAATAACTATGTAGAAAATTAGGAATATCTACGTAAATTTCTATAAAATATATTCATTTATATACAGTAAAAAAATCGGAAAGATTTACGCAAATTTTTACCAAACATATACGTATATGTGAAGCAAAAAATTGGAGAATTTTGTGTATATGCGATAAATATACGTAGATTTTTTCCAAAAATATACTTAAATCCCTGAAATTTACGTATATCATACATAAAAGTTACAAATGAACCTGAATCTTTTGCATAAATATACCTAAATTTTATGTTAAACTTACATGTATTATAATGTCAAAATATATGTTTATATTAACTATTTTCTCCTGGACATTTTTTAGGATATTTTTACGTTCAACTTGAATGTTTTTTATATGAAGGGACATTCATAAATTTCACGCATTTTTCTTGTGCAATTTACGAATGCATGCTGCCTGGGAAGTACTTAAGCATTTCCTCTTTTTGTTGCTTCAATTCCATGTTCCTGTTCTATCTTTTCTACTAGCTTAGCTTCAATCAATGCAGTGAAATATTTTTATCTGATAAAATCCTGATTTTATGCTTTTGTAGCCACCATGTTTTCTTTACTTGTATATGCAAATGATTCCCTTGAAATCCCTTGAAAACAGTCAATATTATTATATATTCAATCCCTTGAAAACAGTGAATGACATCAACAAGGCCTGATGCTGATAGCTTTTCAGTGGCAGAATCTTCCTACTTATCTAGTATAATTATCATATTGCAGTGAATTAAAGTTTAAACAGTACACTTAAACATGTTTTAATAATGAGAAACAATGTATCCAAAACCAACATTTTCTTTTGGAAAACTAGATGTTTTTTAACTTCAAGTGCAAGTTTTAGAACTTTTTTAAGAGTTAATGCATAGATATCCTCAAAATTAATAAATGCATGTGGATAATCAAAAGGTTAGTGCAATTATCAAACTGTGACAACAGTTTAGTACAAACATACAGGGTAGTTATGATTAGTGATTCTACTCAAGTCTACACAGAATTCTTTCTAGTTTATATATTTTGTTGAAACTTGGCATATACATTATATAGACCATGGAGAAAAGAAAACTGCAGTAAAAACTAATAGCTCAAAATTTGATCACAAGGTGCCTCTTTTCATGCAGTGTAGAAAAGATATGCAAATTAGCTCCTTAAAATGCCAGTAGTCAATGCTGTAAAATCTTTCATCACTATGCTTTTGGAGAGGAAAGATTGAACTTTTCTGTCAAATTATTTTATCAGAACTGCAGGAATAGTTTAAGCTATAGTGCAAGGGTATCAACATCCAAAATGCATGCAAAAAGAGAGTCTGTATTAAAGAATGGTGTGAAAAAGATAATTATTAAATTTGAAGAGAATGGGCATATGAGTGTGCTGCCAAGAAAAAGCTGGAAACTTTCAAATGAAACTAGAAGTCACTGTTGCTGTGGTTGACAGTGTATCTTCAGCAAATGCTTGAGCAGTGTCATGTGATTTGGTCTATGGCCAAAAGGTTCTGAGAGCCATTCTAAAGTGGTATCCGTACAAGATCTGCACTGTGCAAAAGCTGTACCCTCAAGAACCACATCCAATGCTTTGATCTTACTTGCCAGTTTTCTAGGAGAGTAGCTGTTGACAATGCGTGGCCTTGGAATATTCATGGTTAAAAGAGGTGCATTTTGCCCTAGGTCAAGAAGGGAATATTCAGAACTGTCACGGGGAGTATTGCAAGTCTCATTGCTATGCATAAGCAGCCTCTGCATTCTGATTATGTAACTTCATGATGTAGTTTTACCACCGACTTCATTTCTAATCCCTTTTTCTTTGAGACAAATACTCCTTAAG